GTAACTCTAGACAAAACAAATCTCAGGAAAGATTGGGGGAAAGGCCTAGAAGTGGTTTTCGTTGATTGGGGCCCCACAAATTCGCCCTCTCTGGGCCAGACTTCGACCTCCCTGGCTGTTTGCTTGTCGAAAAGGACAAAACAAATCGCCAAGAAGGCGAAACCAGTCAAGCACAAGGCAAGTCTGGCAATGTTTAGTTCGCCATGTCCACCACCTCGCCGATGTTGGGCCACTTTCAATTGCCATTGGTTCAACAACCTCCTTTTGCTGTCCTATACAGGAATTGAATTGGACCGACTCGGGGGTTCAAACCAAATTTCGGCCTCTTTCTCCCCGCCTGGCGCAACAAAGCCCAGCAGGATGTCGCCTGCATGCAACAGTCCCGCGCGCAGGAGAGTGCTCCTCTGCAGCTGCCACACGGTGCGGATGAAGAAGACGTTGTCCTCATGGGCGGGATTGTGGAGTAGCCTTTTGGAGGAAGTCGATCTTTACAAGTTCAATCTGGAGTGTGTCCTGTTGATAATTCAAAGATGTGGGCAATCTATCCAAGGTAGTCGAAAATGGCCCACCTTCAGGCATGATTGTTGCGAGGCTTGAAGTGTTTGAGTCCACCAACATGGCAACATGGCTCTTCATACCAAGAAAACAAGCCAACCCAACCCCTTCCCTCCCCCATCCCAAACCACAACACACACACACACACACACACTCTGAGCGGGGGTTGCAGGGACGTGCCAAAGCGTTTTCGGAAGCCCCGGCCAACCTCCTGGATCCGACGCCCTTTGAGCAAACTGAACCAAGTGAAGTAAAGGCAAAATATGTTTGGCGAAACCGGCGAAACGCCACGCGTCAAAAAGGGACCCCTCCAACTTTGAAGTTCAGCGCCCTGCACTGTCTTCCTTTGGGTATCCTTACCGGCCTCCCCCAAAAACATCGGACACTCCCTAATGGGCGAGTTGCCCGGTTTTCATAAGTATAGTGCCATTCCGCTTAGGTTCCAAAGGGTCGCAAGCCAAAAAAAAGGATGCACCGCGTTTTCCCCGTCCTGCGAGCCGTTGCGCCAGGCCTGGCTGCTGGTTTCCATGTCCCTCCCAAGTTGGTTGACCGGGGGTTCTAACAAGTTGCTTTAAGGAAACCAAACAGAAACGAAACAAATGCAATCTGGAACCCGGTCGTTAGAACCCCTTTAGGACCTAGGGTCCCTACCCTCCATGGAACCTGACTGGGGGTCTTGGAAAGCAACGCCTCCAAAAAGGACCCTCTCATGGGTGTCAGTGAGCTGACTAAACCTGGCCCTGAGACACTGAGACCCCCGCTACTTTCGCAAACAGAACAAATGACATCTAGTGACCCAGTCAACACCTACACGGCCCCGCCCCCCCGAATACTTGAAAGCCAGCCGCTCCTCTCCGCAAAGTACCAGCAGTCTACGACCCTTGCAATATAGGGTCAGTAAAGTAGGTCCAGTAGTCTTAGATTCCCTTTAAACAAAACAGCCAGGGAAAGTACAGCTATTCATTTCAGCAATCGGAAGGTTTCATAACCCCACGGGTCAAGCGGTTAGACTCACGCGTCGCCAAACGGAAACACCGATCGAGCCTCCTTCAGTAGGCGGGCATTCTCTGCAGGATCATCCACGGGCTCGAAGACCAGGGCGTCCTCTCAGGGCCCAAGTGGATCCCAGTTCCCTCTATAATAGGTAGCCAAGCATGTTCCTCTTGGTTTGCAAAGGGTGGCAAGCCCAGCAGGACTCCCTATATTTCCCCTTCAAACATCACCCCCACCAAGGGGCACGCGCCTTTCATAGGAATCGACCCCCCCAAAAAAAAAAACGGGAGAAAGTGAGACCTCACCAGGCAAACTGGAGCCGCAGTACGGTCCTGCGGCTCCAGTGTCTTCTGCCGGGCATTCAGGATCACCGACCCGAAGCTGCGAAAGCCCTGAGAACAACTCCACTCCGACCCGGCGCGGTGGGCTCGCGTTTCTCCTTCGTCCTTAACTTAAGACATGGGAGTTGACCAAAAGGTCCGTAAAACATGGGCTGACCGTTGGAGACGCCAACAAAGGTTTGATACTGTTGTAACAGGAAGTTGCCTCAACTTCTCGCCGGGATTCTTGCCCCCATGGAACGCTGCACACCAACAGCCCCGGAAAGCCACCTCAACTTTTTCGGCCACTGTAACGTCGCGATATGTGTCAAGTTTATTAGCCAACGATGTTTTAGTCACCTCAAAATCCGCGTTGCCTATGCGATTGCGAATCAAGCAAGCACTTCGTCGCAAATGTATGCGCGGGCTTTCGACAAATAGTCCAAATGAAGCGCCCTTGGCGATGTTATGAAACCTAAACTCGCGATTGCGCAACACAGCTTGCGCCCACCTCTCTCTGCCAGCCCGCGACGAGATCCAGAAAAGACCCGCACGAGATCTAGACGAGATCACTTGGCTCTGCCAAGCCAGCCCGTCCTCGCTGAATCCTGCTCGGAATTGTTGTGTGCATCCACGGAACCCTCGCAGAACCCTCGCAAAACCCTTGCAGAACCCTGCAGAACCTTGCCTGAAAGCCACCCCGGACCCACCCCGGAGCCGATCTGGTGCTGAGACCCCATCGCTTTCAGCTGTTCGGAAGAATCTTGTGAAACACAATGCATGACACTAGCGGTTAGCGGCTACATGACAAGACAAAATCCGAAACTTGGAAGCTCGAGTGAGCACCCCCCCATGGCACGACACTTCTCTTCTTCCATAAGCCTTTCTGGCAAACACAAATTGCCAATAAAACGTCGGCATTTGGCACGCAGAAGCAGCTCCCCACCCGCGAGCACACCTGAGTTTTCATCACACATGAGCTGCTTCCCCACTGTTAACGCAAGTTGATGCGAAGTACCCTGACACCTTCCCCCACTGGCACGCTGATGACCGCAAGCAATTGATGCGACTTCCCGGGCTGACAGTATATGTCCCCGCAACGGAAAAAGTTACCCATGGTCATTTTAGGGCCAGGAATATTGATGAGCACGCACATGGGTTTTTGAAGCGGGCCGCTGAACATTGTCTGGTTGTTGGGCGGAACTCGGTTATAAAACCTCGTAGATGGGGGTGACCTGTTGTTTTCTGAGTAAAGGACAAGTTGAAAGGGAAATCCACAGGATCAGATACTCCTTCATTGGTGGTTTGGATTGGTGGTTTGGGAGTTTGAACCCCAGCTACTTTTGAAGCCAGACGTCCAAACCACCAAACCAAATCACTAACTAGGGGTAAGGTGGCAGGAGGGTGTGTTCTAAGCCATGCTTCTACCTGGGGCCCCAGTGGATAAGTCTTGGAGGGACTTCTCAAAAATACTTCTTAGTCCTGGCTTTCCTAAACCATGGGGGGGTGGTCTAAACCATCGGATAAAACTACCATCCACACACCGGACTAACTTGACGGTCGAATCGCACTTGGGGTTGGCGTGAAGAGAGGTACCGGAAAAAAGAGAGAGAGGAAAATACAAGAAAAGGAGAAGGCTTCATCCTGGGTGTATTATAATCAGCGCGCATATTTGCCTTTGCAACATCCACCCCGCTCGGAAACTCAGTGGGAATTGTCCGGGCGCACGGCTTATCAAAGTCGTGGACCGCTTTCGGTTGGTTCCTGGATTCCAAGAGAATTTGTCTCCCCTTCCAGTCAGGAAGGCTTCCTTCAGGCTGCCTGCAAGCACAGGACCCAGCGATCAAAAAGCTCGGAGCCCCCAACGTCCCAAAGTCGTCTTCCAGCTTGGTTTCCTGAGAAAGCTTTCACGTCAGTTGCAGTTGGGGGAGTATGACCAACACAAGAACACCAACAGATACCCTCAAAGATGCCAACAAAAGAAGCACAAGAAAAACAACCGAACAAGGAAATGCATGCACGCACACACGCACACACGCACACACGCACACACGCACACACGCACGGACGCACACACACACACACACACACACACACACACACACACACACACACACACACACACACACACACACACACACACACACACACACACACACACACACACACACACACACACACACACACACACACACACACACACACAACCGCCCACCCGTCCATCCACCCTTAGAGTGTGGCCATGAGGCAATGTCCCTAGCGGTGAAGGACGTCATCCTCCGTACCACCGGCTTGAGCCAAACACGTGGATTCCGGGCGCCTCGGCATTGGGCGCCTCGGCATTCAGTGGCCCGCCTGCAGGTTGATTACCCATGTCCAATTCTCGCGAAGCTGACCTTTGTTGATTCGCCAGCAGAAATACCGGCCGCTCGACTTAGCCCTTCAAGCACATTGTGAGGTTGCCATAACCCTTCAGCAAGTCAAACAAATCATCTTGTGCGTGAGGGTGTTCCTTTTGCCACCTTTTTCAGGCTGGGCTTGGCATTCCAAGAGGAAACCAGCACTTTCTTTGGGCCCAAGCATTGAACATCAAGAAATAGTGATGTTAAAACCAGTGGCCGCCAAACGGGAAATACTTGGAGCCCCGCTTGCGCACTGGGCAACGGAATCCCATGTTCAACTTGGTTGAAAGGCTCGTCGTACTCTCCTCTGCAAGTGCTTAGCCATAGGGAACGTGTCGTAGGCAGTATGGTTCTGTCTGTCACTTGTTTTGAGAGGACCCCCTGTGTGACCCGGTGTCAAGGACATTCAACAGGAAACCACGCCCTCTTCGGCGAACATGGTACTTGTCCCACAACGAATTGGAACGATTCGCCGTGTTCATCTGATTATGTTGGGATGGCAAGCAGTTGTTTACTCTCTCCGCAAGATCCCCAAAGGTTTGTCATAGGAGCGCCTATGGCTGTTCATGGCTGTTGCATCCTGGGTAGAGTGAACATTCAATCAGCTGTTGCTTCCCCAAACTGGACAAGATCGGATAGCAAATATACCTTCATGCAACCATCAAAGAGAGCTTCCAATCCACAGATACCCCTCCCAATCCACAGCAATCAAGAAAAACCGGCGGCACGCCTGAGCCTAGAGAGCTCACAAAAGACGCCGGGACAAAGATGCGGCCTGTCAGATTGGACCTTGGCTTCTTCTCGGTCCTCTTCGGCCCAATTTGGCTGCGTGCTTCTGTGGCATACTTGGCACCTGAGGCCTAGAGGGATACTCAACGGACAATCAGTACACGTCCTATTGTGACACACACACACACCTCCAAGCCATAAAAAGGACTGGTCGTTTATGAAACTACCCAGCCTGCAAGCCATATAGGAGCCTGCTGTGTGGGGCATGTATCCCAAATGGCCCCATAACCCCTGTCCGACCCAATCATTGATTTGCGGGTGTTGGGGTATGTCAAAAGGCATGAGACTCTTTGCAGGATCGAAGTCAGGCGCACAAATATCAACTAGGTTCTGAAATATGTCATTCTGGCTTCTAAAGAGGGGTCCTGATAACACAAACAACTATATAGCAATCAGGACACTTGATAACGTCAGGTTACTCGTGTCATGTGAGTGACTGAGGCGGGGGAGATTTTTTTGGGGGAGGGGGGGTGGTTCTGGATGCCAGCATGATTATTAATCCCCTTGAGGTTGCACGGGAAATAAACAAATGCTTGGATGCCAGGCCAAAGAAAGCTTAAGAGTCCCCATGTCCGTATTAGACAACAGGAAAACTTGGTCCAACCTCATATGACAAACGGAATGGCGTTTGGTTGGAGGTACATCTTTTCCTGCAATTTGACCCCTGGCTGTGTTTGCCCCCCCTTTACCCCGACCCAAGAAGAAAAAAAGAGGAGGAAGTTGGTGGGTCAACAAAAAGGGACGCCCCTGTTGGGTTCAACCGACTTGGATTCCTTTCAACACCCATTCAACCCAATCCACCAGGTGTCCCCCAAAAATCCAGCGCTGTCCTTCAAGATTGGCCTAAACAAACGCTGCCAACTCAGCCCCAGACCCCACATCCTGCAATCCACATCAACCAAACCGCTTTTCAGGCCTTTTTTTGCCAAGCTGATTCTTTGCCCGCGCTGGAAAAGTGCCAACTCCCCAAAGCGCATGGGGAAACTGGAAACCCACAGCCACAAACGGGTACGTATCTGGGAGCTTGAGTTTGAAGGGGGCCCCCCCTCCAAACGCACTTTGCAAAACTGAAGGTTGAAGTTAAAAGGAAAATCCTCAAGTCCTCCCAAAATGAGTATGGGACAAAATTTACCACCAGGAAATGAACCGCAGGTTTAGTGCATGTGTCCATTTACCAGAGCAACCCATTCTGGGGCTACCCTATGTTGGACAACCACACCCACATGAGCATCTCTGGTTGGCGGACCCCCCTCTCAAAAAAAGGGTACCCTAACAAAAGACACACCCATATGAAAAAAGAGAGGAAAGCTATGGAAAACTGCTCAGGGGAATGACCTTACGGGTTTTGGGAATGAACCGGAAGGGGATTCCCTTAAAGGAAACAAAATCGGGGATGGCTCTCTTCGGGGGCATTCCATTTCTCATTCTCTGCTTAGAGAACCAGCAAGTTTTAACCTGCCAAATTGAAACCAAATCGGGAGTGGTGTATGGGGTCATTCCGCTTCTCCTTCCCTCTGCACCAAAAGGACCGCCCGAGTGGCGCTCCCGGCGCCAGCCGCTGAGCGGACATCACCTCCCCCGACTCCCGACGCAGCACATAGGCGGCGTCGCCCAGCCTCGAATGGCCATTCGGACGCGTGGAGTTCCCTGTGTTCCGGTGGGTTGGGGGGGCAGGGTGGTTAGGGGAGGGGGGCAGGGTGGTTAGGGGAATCAATGGAGAAAAGGGGCTAGCTGGGGGAAGTGCTGTTGAGGGCTGCCTGTTCTGGTTATAAAGATTTCTCAAATCTGTGTTCCCCCTTATTCGTTTTAAAAAGAGGCTTTTTGGGGAGCTATATCTTATTAGGCTCATAAACTTTTCTGATGGGTTCAATGCGTATGAAAGCGCCTTATCGCCTTTAAACGTTTTGCTGTGTATCTCGTGGTTATACGTTGTAATTGACTTTTCTGGAGTCTTACGCCGACTGACTACATCATGACTAATAGAAGGTTTCCATTTCCTTTGTAATTCTTTTAAAGCATCACCTTGTTTCAGTCTTCGCCACCCTTCACAACCATTAATGTAAGTAGTGATGATTGAAACTAAACCTTCAGGTAAGTTAGTCCAATTCTCAACCATGAAGTTATTCTCAGACATTTTACCCTCACTCATTTTTCTCTTAATATATAAGGTTTTTCTCTTTTAGTAGTTTTGGGTAGGGGTTGCTGGTTGGGCAGTCTGAGTTTCAGGTTTAATTTAAATGTCTTAACCTTCTTGTTAGATTGAAAAACTATGTTTAATCATATTATAATTGAATAATACCATTAAACTAAATCACTCACGCTTTCCATACACCTATTCCATCCCACCAGAATTCAACAATTTGCATCTGTCCATCTACTAGACTGTCTTCTTTGTTTAGTTTCCGTATCGCTCCTGATAGTATATAGTGGTTAATAATCATTGCTTCAAACTTTCCATCTCGGTTTAACTTTTTACCACAGTCTTTTATGATGTCTTCATCTGTTAGGTTTTCATACATTTCATTCATGATGTCAAACCTAGCAAATGAGTATATTGTCATCAAGTTTAATCCGCTATTATCCCTAAACCTGTTAATGACATCTTCCCAGAATTCACCGTTTTCATCAACTGCGTGCAAAGGGTGTCTTTTGATGAAATCCTTTATTTTGTTCAACTCTTCTTCTAAATCCTTTCTATAACTGTCATTATCATCATCTTCTTCGTCTGATGGTGTCCAGTTTGATAAGTCGGCAATCACTCCGACAGTTTCTAAATTCAAGTCCTCTAATCTTATTTCAGCCATATTTTCACTTAATATAACAAGTTAACATTTATTTAAGTAGTTTTTATTTTATGTTAAGGGGCGGGGTTTATGCTGATAAAAGTTATTTTCTAACAATTTAATATAATGGCGAGATTAACAAAAGACCAAGTAATCAGCAACATCTATTACGACTTAGACGAGGGTTTCGGAAGCACACAAGCGACACACAAGAAGGCAAAGGAAGAAGACCCAACAATAACATTAGACGATGTAAAGTCTTTCTTAAAGAAACAACCAAATAAACAAATCAAAAATTATAGAGGCACCAATTCCTACACCGCACCGTTTGCCAGATATGAATACCAAATAGACATAATGCACATGACACCGCTTATTAAGGATAAAGACACACCAGAGTTTGCTTTAGTTGTAATTGATATTTTCAGTAAATTAGCGGATGTAGTGCCTATGTTCAATAGAGATGGTGAAAGTGTTGAGAAAGCATGAAGAGCAAGTTTTAGAAAGATGGGCTATCCTATGTCTGTGTATTCTGATTTTTTGAAAGTGAGGGAATAAACCACATTGTCACTAAGACCCACGCAAATGTAGCCGAGCGTTTTATTAGGACGATGAAAAACAAAATTCGCAATAGAGTTAGGCTTAACAACAAGAAATGGACCGACGCCCTATCACCAGCATTGAAACAGTATAACAGCACATCACACTCATCAACAAGGATGACACCGACCGAAGCACACAAGGACGACAATGAAATAAATGTAAAGGTCAATCTGAAACTACGAGAAAAAAAAAGAAAGTATCCCAGAATAGAGGAGAACGACAAGGTAGAAGTGTTCCAAAAGAAAAGGGGTAATTACACCGGCAGAAAGGAGTATAACTCTAAATGGTCTAATAAAATGTTCAATGTTGATAAAATTGAATATGATATTATGGGTAATAAAACTTACAAAGTAGCAGGAATAAGCAAACCGCTTTTGAGACACGACATTTTGTTCGTTAATGATTAAACGTATTTCTTAGTGTCTTCGTTATACTTGACTTGATAGTAATCCAGACTTGGTTGTTTAGGTTATTTTATGACTTTTCATTAAGTTTTTTAACATAAAGGTTTCGTTTATTTTTGTATTCGCTACTGTCTCTACCAACATCAACCTTTGACTGATAATTATATATAATTATTATTGTAGTTGTTGAAAGTTGGTTTGCTTTCCAATTTGTTCGCTATTCTGTCTAAATTCCGCGCTATTAAGTCAAACTGTCAGTGACATCATCAACAAGCTCTGTCATATGTTTTAGCATTTTTCAATCTTTTCCTCCATATATACTAAATTATAAAACTAAACTTTTAAAACTAGATGTTGCAATTATGTTAAATCTACTCTTTAAATACTACTTTTTCATCATTTCACGTATAGTTTCCTGTGTTTCGTTATCACCCTTATCGGACGGTGATGCATGCCTTGCCCATTTGATAGCAATATTATGAACATCTGTTTCTAAGCTGATACTGTCTTTAGTTTTATCAATATTCATTTACTTATTTTGAAACTTGTTGGAACACACGAGCATTTACAATTTCCTTTCTTTTGTATTTCTAATTCATGTTTGATTTCTAACATCTTTTTACACATCGGACAAGCAAACTCAATAACTGATGTTTATTTAACAACTTCTGCTTTTTCTTCATCAGTTGAAGAAACAACTGGTTCTGTCTTATTCATTTCTTTCTTCCCATTCATATTGATATTTACATTTTCATTTTTGATATATTGTATCACAAACTGAATTAATTCTAGTGAATAATAACAGCATTTTTAATTTTATTATCAGTTATAACAACTTGTTCTATATTCTCTACTTCATCTATTAGATCAATATAACCTGAATAACTTCTATTCATATAAATAATAAGATGAAATATATATATATATATATTTTTAAAAATAATTTTTTGAACTTATTAACTCATGCATGGCAGAATATTTGGAGGGCACAACCACAACAATGGAGTTTTCTTCGCACTGGACAACGCAAGCAAGGTTCAAACTAATTCAAACTAATTAGTCTCAATGCGTATGATTGAAGTTGATGAAAGAGCCCGTTCTACTACGATAGACCCCATTCATATCATAGCAATGCTTTCATACAATAAATAATACTAAATTATGTTCTAAATATATTGAATATTACTTTTATTATGCCTGATGTAAAACCAATTGATGAAATCAAATATGACTTTAAGCAAACTAAGCAGGAGGTTGTCCCTAAATTACCGATGAGAGCGATGATTGTAGGTCCGTCTGGTTCTGAAAAATCAACTTTACTTGTATCAATGATACTTGATATTTATGGAGGAGCAATTGAAAGAATTTTTATCTGGTCGCCATCAGTAAATTTAGATAGTATTTGGTTGCCTGTGAAAAAAATACATTAAAGAAGGCTTAAAAGTCGATGCTCATAAAGAACCGTGTTGGTGGGATGAGTTCAATGTTGAAGATTTAGAAAGAGTTATAGAAACTCAAAATAAAATAAGTGAATACCAGAAAAAACAAGGAATGAAGAAGTTATTTAATATATTAGTTAAATTGGATGATGTATCTGATAACCCAGCAATAACAAGAAATAACAAATTGTTAAATTCTTTATTTTGTAGAGGTCGTCATAGCGGAGTATCAACACTTGTAAGTCTTCAAAAATCATCAACCGTACCACAAATTATTAGAGTAAATATAAGTCATGTGTTTTATTATAAAGTTAGAAATTTCAAAGAAATTGAAATATTGCAACATGAATTATCAGCAATTGTTCGAAGCGATAATTTACACGAAAGCAAGAAACTAATTTATAAAATATATGAGACCGCCACTGATGAACCACATAGTTTTTTATATATTCACCTTTTAGAAAAGAACCCCCAAAAATGTTTATGAATAAGTTTTCACATCATCTAAGAATATCTGATAAATAATATTTAAAGATATATCCTATATAATATTCTACAACGCCTAAAAAGGTAATGGACTATTCTAATACTTATTTTTTAAAATTGTTTGTAAAAATTTAAGTATCAAAGACTGTTATGTTGGACATACTACACATTTTGTTAAACACAAATGTGCTCATAAAAATAATACTGAGAAAGAAAACGGTGAAAACTACAATCAATGTGTATATCGATTTATTCGTGAAAATGGAGGATGGAATATTTTTGGAATGGTTTTAACAACTAATTTGAAATGTGAAAACCGTTTAGAAGCATCAATGAAAGAAAGAGAATATAAAGAACAACTAAAAGCGACTTTAAATCAACTAAATCCAATAGCAACAGATGAAGACAGATTAGAGCAAGCAGAAAAGTATAATGAATGGAAAAAGGAAGACAGAAAACAAAATCCTGACAAATACAAAGAAAGAGACAAAGCAAAATACTAGAAGTTTAGTCATAAAATGAAAGAACATGCACGAGAAAGATGCTGGTTAAAACATGATGAAAATAATGAAGCGAAGAAAGACAAATACCATAATCACGGAGGGAAAGAGAAAAACTCAATACAATGTAAAAAATATAGAGAAGAACATAAGGAAGAAGTAAAGCTAATGATGAAAAACTGGTATAATAATACGAAAGAAGAAATTGAATGTGAATGTGGTCAAAAGTTATTGAACCATAACCTACCAAAACATATACCAAGGAGAAAACACCAAGCATATCTAAACTCAATACAACAACCAGAAGAGACACCAGAACAAATTACAAATAATGAATAAAGATATTCTATTTTCATACAATATACTAATATGAATGCAGTGGATTTTATCATAGAGGAGAA